GAGGAAAGGAAAGGAAAGGAAAGGAAAGGAAAGGAAAGGAAAGGAAAGGAAAGGAAAGGAAAGGAAAGGAAAGGAAAGGAAAGGAAAGGAAAGGAAAGGAAAGGAAAGGAAAGGAAAGGAAAGGAAAATGGAAAATGGAAAATAAGAAAGGAAAGGGAAAAAGAGAAAGGAAATGGATATGGAAATGGAAGAAGAGAAAGGAAAGGGGAAAAGGAAAGGAAAAAGGAAAGAAGAAGAAGGAAAGAGGAAAAAGGAAAGGAAAGAAAAAAGGAAAGAGGAAAAAGGAAAGAGGAAAAGGAAAGGAAAGGCAGGAAGGAAAAGGAAAGGAACAAGGGAGGCGACATGGGGAAAGGAAGGAGGAAAGAAAGGGGAGAAACAGAAAGAGGAGTGGGAGAGAAAGTCAAAAATCATGAAAACAATTTTCCTCAAAAAATAAGAAACAAATTAAAAAAGAAAAAGAGCGAAAGAAAGAGGAAAAAAACAAAAACCAAACACGAGAATGAATGAAAGAAAGATGGAAAGAAAGAAGGAAAGAGAGAAGGAAAGAAAGGTGACGGAAAGAAACAGAACGGAAAGAAAGGATGACAGAAAGCGGGAAAGAAAGAAGGGGGAAAGAGGAAAGAGAGGAAAGGGGAAAAGAGAAAAGAAAAGCGAAAAGACAAAGCCCGAAAAGAAAACCTCCGCCTCATCCCCGATCCCCGCGGCAGAATCCGACCGTCCGCAGCCCGGAGCCGCGCCGAGAGGAGCGCAGCAACAGGTCTTGGTGCGGGGCTGCGGGTCCCGGTGCGGGGCTGCGGGTCCCGGTGCGGGGCTGCGGGTCTCAGAGCGGGGCTGCGGGTCCCGGTGCGGGGCTCACCTTGGAAGCGGTGCCCGAAGAAGCGGTTGCGCAGCACCCAGGGGTAGAAGTTGAGCGGGTCGCGATGCTGCTGTCCGAAGAAGGAGTGAGGGTGCGGGAGAGGCGATGCTCCGAGCTGATGCGGAGCGACGGGTAGAGCCGGATGCCCCACGGCTTCGGGGAAAACGAGCTCGGTGCCGCCGTACAGAGCCCGACCGGCGGCGGCGGCCCCTTGGAAACCGCCGGGGAAAGCGTCGGAAGAGGCGGGGGGGGGATAATTGAGGGCCGAGGGCCGCAGGGGTTCCTCGGGGCTCAGCGGGGTGTCCTTGGCCACCAGGGACTCGATGGTGAAGCAGCGCTTGGCGGACGGCTGGAACATGGTTTGAGCTCGGGGGGGCCGCGGCGGGGCTGTTCCTGCGGGTGCGCGCGTGTGTGTGTGTGCGAGAAAGCTCCCCCCCCCCGCCCCCCCCCCCCACAGCCCCCCCCCACGGGGCCGCGCACACGCGCACCCACCGCCCGCACCCCGCGGGCCGCCCCCGTACCCCGCAGCCCCGCAGCCCCGCAGCCCTACAAATAGGGCCGGTACCGGGCGCCGCCCCCCCCCCCCACCCCAACCCCCCGCCCTTCCCCGCCCGGGCGGCCCTCACCTGCGGGTGAGGAGGGCCGGGGCTGGGGCCGGCGCTGGGAATGAGGAGAGCGCCCGAAAAACTGGACTGGAGCCGGCGGCGAGGCGAGAAGTTGTGGGAGCGGGGCTGCGGGCTGCGCTCGTTTCGTAGGAAATCGCTACATCGCTTCTTTCGTGCTGAAAATCGGGACGGCAGTACGGCCCCGCGGCTCCGCCGCTCCGCGATAGAAAGGTCGGAGAGCTCCCGTTACCCGCGCAGCCCCCGCGCAATGTCCGCGCAGCGCGGAGCCCCGCTTAAATCCCGGCTCGGCCCCGCTCCTCCCTGCGCTGGGAATAATAATAAAATGATATCAAAATATCGACGAAAAATCCCAAAGTCGCTGTTTTCTCTTCCGGAGCCGCGCTGAGGAAATTGATGCGCGGGCGCGCAGCCTCTCCGCACTTTGGTCCGTCCCGAGTTCACTCCGCAGTTTGGCTCTGCTTCGCCCGCCGGGACGCGGCGGAGTTTTGTTGAGGCGCGGAGGAGGGGGCAGCCCTCCCCTCCCGCACAAAGAGGGTTGAAAGTCTATTTTCCACTCCGCTGCGCCGAAATGCTCCGCGCGGCACCGCGGGGCCGTCAGTCCGTCCGTCCGTCCGTCCCCCTCATCTCCTCCCACCCCTCCTCCAAGCACAGCGCGGCCGCCCCTCGCCCTGCGCGCATCTTCCGCGCATCTCCCGCGCATCTCCCACACAGACACAGCGCGGCGGCAGCGGGAGGAGGAAAGCGCACGGAACTGCGCGGAAACCAAAGGCTGAAAACGGAGCGAGCGCGTCCGACGGAGCGCTTTTCTCGTTTAGTTTTCTTTTCAATTATTCTTTTCCTTTATTTAATTCGATTATTTTCCCTCCGTGGAGGTGGAAGAGGGGGAAGGAAAAATTGATCTGGATTTTCAGTGGGGATTTCCGTGGGTTGGAAATAAAGGAGAGGGGATGTGAGGAGAGGGATGCGGGGTGCGGAGCGGGATGTGGAGCAGAGGGAAGGGGAAAGAGAAAGGGAATGGGATGGGGAAAAGGGAAGGGAAAGGAAGGGAAGGGAAGGGAAGGGAAGGGAAGGGAAGGGAAGGGGAAGCAGGGCCAGTGCTCAGCTCGGATGCGGGAGTCGTGTGCTCAATTTGTGGCTTTGAATTTAATTTGAGATTATCGGATTGTATGGAATTTAATTTCGTTTTTCCATCAAGTTCCCGTGCCGGGCCGCTGGGCAGAGAGGTTCGGGAATGAGATTTCGTTTGGTGAGGCTCTCGCCGGCTCTGAACATCCTTCACAGGGGGATAACTGAGCCCTGCCCGGCGCTGAATGCCCCGCGAGGAGCAGCACCTCCTCTCCACAAAAGCGTTTTTTGGAGGGGAGCTCCTTTGGTTTAGAGAAAAAAAAAAAATCCCCCCCCCATTAAATATGACAATATTATGAGGTTGGGTTTTGTTTGTTTTTTTTTTTCCCCATTCTTTTCCTCCGATTTTTTTTTTCCAGCCCTGCATCCCGGCTGCTGCCTGACATCCAACCGGGAGGAGCTGTGCTGGAGGAGAAGGAGATTTGCTTTATAACGAAAGGAGGTGGCACTGCAGCCGGGGGACGCGGGCAGCAGCGGCAGAGGGCACACAGAGGATCCCCAGCCCCGCTCCGGGGGTAATGCGGGCACAGAGCGGAGCTCTGATCCCATTAAAACACAATACAACGGTTTTCCAAAGAGCAAACGAAAGCGGAAGGAAGAAGAGGGAGAGGGGGGCAGGACGGGCAGCGAAAGGCGGCTGTAGGGTGTGGGGTGTGGGAGAGGCTGCGGGATGCTCGGGGATGGACAGACGGACAGCTTGGGGCCAACGCAACGCCAGCAGGTGCAATGCTGTCCGCAGCCTCGTTAATCTGTAACACATCGGCCTCCAGCATCAAAGGGCAGAATGTGGAAAATCAGGCCCCGAGCCCCGGAGCGTGGCCACGGGCTCAGCTCGTCACGATGTTAAAAGTTGACCAGACTTCAAAGTGCTGCATCATTTCCTGCCAACCTCCCAACCTGCCCGCTGTTCCTGCAGGCAGAGCCCATCCCCTGCCCCCAGTGCTTCATGCCCCCACTGCACTCCCATAGCCAAGAAGGGAGGAGGGAGACTGGTGTGGGTTTGGGGGAGCTGAGAAGGTCTGAAGACTCCAGAGCTGGGCTGCTCTCTGCTTTCTGCTTCTTTGGCTTTTTCTTCTTCTTCTTCTTCTTCTTACTGAATTTGACGTGGCTCAGTGCTGGATGGGAAGAAACTTTCCCTGCACAACCTGGTGGGCTTCAGTGGGCCTTTCTCACCTCCCCAAGAATCCCAAATTTCTGGTGGCTTTGTCAGCTGGTCCATTGCTGGTTGGATGGATGGATAGATGGATGGATGGATGGATGGATGGATGGGTGGACGGATAGATGGAAAGATGGGATGCATGGACGGACAGATGGTTGGATGGACAGATGGATGGATGGACGGATGGATGGATGGATGGTGGATGAATGGAGATCACACAGGAATGGTGGGTCTGATGGTAGATCCAGGCATTGCCAAGGATGAACGGTCTCCTTTTCATTCAGAGACTTGGAGAGTTAGTTTATAGGCTCAGGATGAGAGGAACCCATCACATAGCCTAGGAAGAGAAAGTCTCCAAGCCATACAGCTACAAACTGTGGGCTGGAAGAGGTCAGTGCAGAAAAGACAGATGCTGCTGGATCCTCAGCCACCTATGCAGTGTTCACAGTGGCTTTTCCAAGGCGATGCATTCACCTGCACTGCCCCAGCACAGCCAAACAGCCCAGAATCCCTGTAAGATGTGGGATGTGATGTGATGGTGGATGTTCAACCTAATCCAGCAGGAAGAAGAGGTGGGAAAAGCACAAAAGCCACAAACCAGTTGGTGAGAACAGATCCTCCAGGCCCTCGCTGTGCCCAAGATCCTCCTGTTCCTGTGTTGGATGAGCACTCAGAGGTGTGAGATCCCGATGGAAATACAGCTATGCGTCACTGTCAATTTTGCTCCTGCAAGGTACCCAGCTCTTTGCAGATATTTAAACCCCCCACATCCTGAAATCATCATTGCTACGTCTTTTGTAACATTTGGAGATGGTTCTTCTAACATCTGGAGATGGTCGTGCAGGTGCCCATGGTCCTGATGAGACCTTTCAGGTAGGAGTCCCCATCCCTGGGGGTATTTAAGAGATACTTGGATGCAGTCCTGAGGGACTTGGTGTCGTGATGGGACTCGATAGAACAGGTTTATGGTTGGGCTTTGTGATCCTGAAGCTCTTCTTCAACCCAAATGCTTCATTCTATGGCTCATAAACATGGAGACCTCTCCCTTGATTTCATGCAGGACCCTGAGGACAGTGTTCCCCATTTGCCTGCAGGTGTGCAGAGGGATAACAGTCATTCACACCGTTCAGCTCCGTGTTCCCCAAGAATCTGTGTTCAGCCAGCCCTCCCCCCTGGCTTTGGGATGAAGGTTGGTCTCCCCTCTGAGCATCTCGCTTCAAGGCTGCAGGATGTCACACATCAAAAATGCTTTTCCATGCACTGCGGGGTAATTGCTGAGGCAAACACGCCTCTCTTTGAGTGTTCAACCGGATAGTTTCAACACAGGAAATTACACCTCCAGCCCTGGGGATGTTTGGGTGCTCCATTGGGTTGCACTGGAGCATGACCCCCCCATCGGGCCCCCAAGCAATGCCCCAGCTGATGGGGAAAGCAATGTCCCATCTGGGATTGAACCATCGCAGGGGTGAGGGGACGGCAGGTTGGACTCGATGATCTCAGAGGTCTTTTCCAACCTCAATGATTCTGTGAGTGGGCACAGTGGTGATGGGTTGGCAGTTGGACTCGAGGATCGTTGTGGTCTTTTCCAACCTTAATTGATTCTACAGGGGAAGGTGTGATGGCCCCACAGACCCCAGACTGCCTGGTCACAGGGGTGATGGCAGACCTGGTTCCACAGCATGATGCCGAGTGGCTCTGAGGTGATGTATCAGCCATCTGCATAGATATCTAACTTACTAACACAATAAAACTGCTGGTCAGAAGCCTTCCTGCCTATTTTTCTCATGGAAAATGCCAGTGCTGGGTGCACGTTGTATGGAAATGTGGGGTTACTTCCACAGAGAACCCAGGAAATAAATGCATGTGTTCCCTCTGACCACTTCCAGACTCAGAACAGGACGAGACACGCACTGCATTGAGAAAGTCCCAATCTGCTGGGCTGGACTGGAGACCATTGGGCTTCTCCAGACCCATCCCCATTGGGATGGGACACGGAGGAGGAGAGGGGCTGGGTGCTCCTGGTGTGCTTCGTTCTGGTGCCAGGCTCCTACCATGCTGGGAGCTCCGCAGCAATGAGTTCCTCCTTCCTTCCTTCCCCTGGGAGGTGGTCGGAGGGGGCCCTGTGTGATTCATGTGTTTATTTTCCCGGGTGCCATATGAAAGGCAACCCCGTGTGTTTCCATACGAGGCGGCTAGGTGCTTCCAACACTGACATTCTCCATGAGAAAAATAGGCAGGAAGGCTTCTGAGCAGCAGTTTTATTGTGTTAATAAGTTTGGCGTCTATAAGCAACATATGTAAATGACTGATATACTGTCTTGATGCCATTTAACATTATGTTGCGGAGGTGAGAGGGAGCCAAGTCTGCAGCATTTCGACTAATATGCACGGAGCTGCCAATTTTTTTTTTTTTATTTTTTTTTTTAAATTTCATTTTAATTTATTTTC